ATGTGATTGTAGTTTGTTCAATGGCTCTTTTTTTTAATATAATTGTTGTAGGTAGTTCAATGGTTTTTTCTTTTCGTTTATTTTTTTTATTATGAGAAAAATGTGATGTGATTATAATTTGTTCAATGGTTCTTTTTTTCAATGTGATTTAATCGTTTTATTTACTGTTTTAATGGTTCTTCTTTATAATTATTTTTTTTATTATGAAAAAAATGTGATTGTAGTTAGATAGAATTAAAAAAAATGTGATTTGTATGATTGAAGTTATCTCATTTTGTTTATAATTTTATTTTTTAATATGATTGAAGTTAACTTACAAAAACAAAAATGTGATTGTAGTTTGTTCAATGGTTATAAATAATATTTTTATTTACTATTTTAATGGTTCTTTTTTTCAATTATTATTTTTTTATTATGAGAAAAATATGATTGTAGTTAGATAGCATTAAAAAAATTATGATTTGTATGATTGAAATTATCTGCTTTTGTTTATAATTTGATTTTTTTAATATGATTGAAGCTAGATAAACATAAACACTCACAAAAAAAATGTGATTGTCGTTTGTTCAATACTACTAAATAATCTTTTTATTTACTATTTTAATGGTCCTTTTTTTGAATTATTTTTTTTTTATTATGAAAAAAATGTGATTGTAGTTAGATAGCATTAAAAAAAATGTGATTTGTATGATTGAAGTTATCTCATTTTGTTTATAATTTAATTTTTTAATATGATTGAAGTTAGATAAACATAAACACTCAAAGGGGTTTTTAAGGAAAATGGAGTTTTTAACCCCAAATCCTGTGGGAGCTTCAATATCCCAATCTGAATTTTCTAAATTTTTTATTAAAAAAAAAACTCAACATTTACTGATTTGGTCAAAATCTCCTAATCAGCATTTATTAACTTTTTTCAATCCGCATGCCTTAAATTTTTTATTTTTTATTTAAAAAAAAAACTCAACATTTATTGGAGTTCTCCCTGATCAGTATTTATTAACTTTTTTCAATCTACATGTCTTTCCACATGCTTGCATTTATTGATTTGATCAAAATCTCCTGATCAACATTTAAAATTTTCTCATACAAATAATTATAGATACAATCCGTGTATAGTTACTGCAGTTCATTTTTCAAGTTTTCCCATACGTTATGGTTAGTGATAGTTACTGCAGTACCATTTTCAACTTTTCTCATATACTATGGTTAGTGATAAGATTGTTAAATTATTTTTATAAAAAATCTAAAACAAATATAAATATCTATAATTATCCCGTACATAGCACGGGTGATAGGCTAGTCTATATATTAAGAAAAATGAAATTTCTAACCTCCAAGCCTTGTGGAACCTCTAATATTTCAATCTAAATTTTTTGATTTTTTGATTTTTTTTAAAAAAAACAAACTTATCATTTATTAATTTCTCCTAATCCCCAAGCCTTACCCTCATAATAGATCAACATTTAAAATTTTCTCATACAAATAATTATAGATACAATCTGTGTATAGTTACTGCAGTACCATTTTCAACTTTTCTCATATACTATGGTTAGTGATAAGATTGTTAAATTATTTTTATAAAAAATCTAAAACAAATATAAATATCTATAATTATCCCGTACATAGCACGGGTGATAGGCTAGTCTATATATTAAGGAAAATGAAATTTCTAACCTCCAAGCCTTATGGAACCTCTAATATTTCAATCTAAATTTTTTGATTTTTTGATTTTTAAAAAAAAAACAAACTTATCATTTATTAATTTCTCCTAATCCCCAAGCCTTACCCTCATAATAACACATTAATGCATTAAGAACAAGTATAAAAAAATTTCTTGAAAAGTCCAACACATATGAATTCCTTGAAAAGCCCCAACACATATGATTATTATTCCTCATAATAACACTTTAATGCATTAAGAACAAGCATTAAAAAAATTCCTTGAAAAGTCCAACACATATGAATTCCTTGAAAAGTTCAACACATATGATTATTATCAAAATATTAAACTTTAATATAATATAAAATAAAATAAAATAAAAACATTTAATTCCTTGAAAAGTCCAACACATATAATTATTATCAAAATATTAAACTTTAATATAATATAAAAAAGGAAAAAAAAAGAAGACATTTAAAATAATAAAAAAAAAGACATTTAAAAATCGCAATTTACATATATAGATAATTGTAAACACAATCCGTACATAGCACGGGTGATACCCTAGTTACCATAATGGAAAAGTGTAGATGAGATTACTATATTGTGAGGTACATACTAAACAAATTTGAATTATATATTAATAATTTTTGAAAAAAAAAAAATAGGTAATAATTGTGTGTGTAATATTATCGATGCTATATTAATGTTGGACAAATTACACCATCAATCTCTGTATTTTGGTTTTTGTGTCATTTTTATCACTATAATTTTAATAGGATTGATTTTGACATTGAATTTTTGACTTTGTCTTAAATTAGTCTAATTGTTAGTATTTTTTTAATGGTAAATGCGCACATGAACGGCATGTGTCATACTTTTAGTATTAAAATTGTAAACTTGATCAATTCAGTGACTTAACTTTAACTAATTAAGTGAAAATTTTCTATTAAAAACCCTAATAGCGTTATCAATAGGATCAAATTGACGTAAAATTTAAAATTAAGGATCAAAATTGAGCCAATTGAAACTGTAGAAATTAAAATAACATAAGCGGCAAAATATAAAGACTATCGGTATAATTTACCCATTAATGTTAGTCCAATCAATAAATATATTTGTATATAAATCAATTACAGAATGATTCACAAACCAAAAATAAGAGGGTTGGCCTCTATATGAATGACTTATTTTTGTGCATATAGTACAAATCTAGGCCAATTGGCTAAATCAAATGAATCTAATATTGGTGCAAACCTTGTTTGCAGTAAAGGCAACAAGCTTTAATGGCTTCTTCTGCTATCTGCCATCTGCTCTTGCTGTCTTTTTTGCCTAATGTTAGGGATCATAAAAAATATATCATGAAGTGTATCATGAAGATTTTTCATCCATTGATTAGTGTGTGATGTTTTATTGTATGGGTAATCCAAAGGTTGAGAATATTTCATGATAATTTTCATGATTCCTAACATTACTCATTTTTGCCTGTATTTGGTGTTTCTTACATAAGTTTGGATTCATCACTTTCTTCCATTGGTGACAACTCTTCGTGGATTTCGCCTTCTGGGGATTTTTCCTTTGGATTTCGCCCGCTGAACAATACAAACATCTTCTTGCTTGCCATATGGTTTGCACGTATACCCGAGAGGACCATCGCCTGGCATGCAAACACAACTAGTCCGGTGCGAACAAATTCAACCGTTAAGCTCACAGCAGAAGGCCTCACACTGAATAATCGTAAAGACCAAACAATATGGAAGGCACAACCCAAAACCCCCATTTCTTATGCCGTAATGCTCAACACTGGCAACTTTGTGCTTGTAAGTACAAATTCTGTTTTTGAATGGCAGAGTTTTAATTACCCACAGACACTAGCTTACTAACCCAAAATTTGTCACTGGGACGCTTCTTGTATTCTAGGCTCACTGAAACCAACTACTCAAGAGAAAGGTTTGCACTTCACTTCACGAATGGAGAACTTCAGCTCAAACCAGTCTCTTGGCCGAGCAAATTTCTGTATCCGCTTTATTACAAAATTGGAATAGCTTCTGGTTTCAGTTGGTTTTCAGTAAATCAGCAAATATTTACATAGCGAAAAGGAATGAAGAGGCTGTCCAGCTGTCATGGCATAACATTGTTCTGAATAACCCGAGCAACTATTACCGTGCAACAATGGATTTTGATGGTTTTTTTAGGCAATATATTTACTTGAACACCTCTGTCACTGACCAAAGCTGGTCAGTTCTTCGATACATCCCTGACAACATCTGTAACATGGTGGACAGATATAGTAGCGGTGTTTGTGGGGTCAATATTTGCGAAGAAAATAGTGGCACTCCTAGCTGCCATTGCCCACCTGGGTTTTCTGTTATAGATCCAGATGACAAATTTGGTGGCTGCGAACCAAATTTCCCTCTAGGTTGTGGAGTAAATGATGGATCAAGAAACCCAGAAGACTTGTATGATTTAAAGTTGATTTCGGGATTGAATTTCCCATTTGGAGATTATGAAGTTTTTGACCCTGAAAATCAAAAATTGTGCGAACAGTCTTGTTTGCATGATTTTTCTTGTACTGTTGCCATATTTGGTGGTAAAAGATGTTGGAAGAAGAAAATGCCACTGTCTTACAGTAGATTGGAGGGTGGAGATGTGTAAACTTAAAAACACAGAAAGTGCAGCGGATAAAAGAATCTGATCATACCTTCTTGATGATAGAACATTCTTGGATAAATCACGTGCTTCCAGAAAACTTCTTGATGAACCAACTTCTTGATGATAGAACATTCTTGGATAAATCACGTGCTTCCAGAAAAACGATAAATCAACCCAGCAGTGGAGTGATATCACAGATTGAATATCACCCACATAGAATCACAGTGCAAAGACTTGATCGTTGTGTTTTTTGGGAGAGAGTCAGTATATGGGTAGAAACAGACTATACATTGTTTCTCACTTGATTACCCATAACCATATATCAGATATATAATATATTATTATATCTATCCATATCAGTTAAAACTGATAATATCTGTATCTTGAGTGGTTATCCTAAATAAGTTTGATTTCAAATTCAAAACCTAGTTGGATAAGGATTCAAATTCAAATTTAATGGTCATGCCACATGGGCGCCCATTACTAACACTATACAATCTCGTCACCTTCATCATCCTGTTTTAATTAAAAATTGCTCTGTATACCGATCCATAACTAACACCAGCATAAACATTTTAGACAGCCCGGTATCCAGCATTTTGGGCATCTACATTGCCGTTTTGGGCAGCATAAACATTTTATGCAGCTTTGATTCAAACATTCTGGGCAATTGGGTAGCTGGAACTTGATCCAACAGCACGTGTTGGCAGAATGAGACCTCTTCTGTAGACGGAGGCTCTGCTTGATCTTTCGAAGGCAGATTTCTGTTGTTATGTTCTCCATTTCTTGGATGAATCTGCAAAGATGGCGGATATAGTCCGGGTACAACTCCAAGTTGCAGTGTCCACCTCCTTTAATCCATAACGGCTCGTAAGGGTCCCTTGCCATTTTCCATAGTCCATTACCATGAAACCAGTTTACAATTTCATCTTCTGTGCCCTGCAAATGTTTGATCAAAACCCCCATATTACAATTATCCAAATGTTTGATTATCACAATTTTACAACTAGAATATTAACCAAACAAATCAACTAAACACAGATCATTAAAGCATCCAATAATGGGATCTTTTTGATTTCCCAATTTCCAGACATTTAAGCCCCAAAAGTGCCATTAACTAAAAAGTTACGACGTAGTAATGAAAATTTACAGTGAAACAAAGTAATTTAAAGTGGCAAGAGAGAAAAAGATATATCAGCATTCCTTCAATGATCAATGACCATCCCTCAAAAAAGAAAAAAAGATGCAACAAGCATTCCAATAAAAAGCAAATATTCGCGGTAGCAAAACCAATATTTTGAGTCCTCGATTTCATTCAAAAAGCAAAAAATGCAAAGCAAATTGTCGGGGCATTCCAGCTAAGAAGTACTTACGTGTATCACTAGCACAGGGCACTTCACCTTCCGAATTTTGTTAACATTCTGCAGTAACCAGAACAATTAACAGCAGGAGATAAAGTATGCAATTATACATCACGAATACATATGGGTTGTGTTTGTATCTAGGATTTGTGGAGAGAAAAGAAAAAGAAAGGAAAAAGATATAAAAAGAAAGTGACCTAAAAGCTAAATTTTTTTCTCTTTTTTTGGTTGAGTTAAGAAACTGAGAAGCAAATGAATAAATAATATTATATATATATATATATAAAATCCATTAGCATTATCAAATGAACAGATGATAGATACCTTGAACATAAACAAAACCATCTGAGATGTGCTTCTCACCTTATAAATATCGAAGCAAAACGTGAACTTGACATGGCAGACTACACGAAGGCCAGAAAGAATAGCACTATGGAGAACTACGCCTCTCAACCTTGGCAGCTTAGCTGCTAAGTACAGTGTCGGTCCACTTCCGACTGACTGTCCATAGAGAATCAAGTCTTCCTGGCTAATTCCATATTCTGTCTCGAGACATTCGTATACTGCATCTATGTCAGCATATGTATTGGATTCACTTGGCTGAATTCCATAAACAGAAAAGTCAAGTAACCGAAGCTATCAATAGAACCAAACCCTGACCTTATAGAAAACCAGAATAAGCATTCCAATTGGTCAGGATTACCAAAAAAATAATAATAATTAAGGAAAAAAATCCCCCCATTTTTATGGCACCAAGGAACTTCTTCAAACCCAAATATCAACTCAACAGAGAAATATTACCTCTCCAGAAGAGGCTCCGTAGCCTGAGTAGTCATATCTGCATATTGAAATTGAGATGGAGACAATCAAAATGGTACTCGAGAAATTGATAGAGCAGAAGCATTATTAAAAGAAAAGTACTGAAACCTTTGCACACTGCACACATAGGGCTGCAAAACAAACCAGACTACTCGATGTTGACTCATATTCGGCTCGTTAAAAACTCGTCTGAGATCGGCTCATTATAAAAGCTAGCCAAGCTTGAACTCATTTTAAAAACTTAAACAAGCTGCTGCTCGACATGATAAGTATCTATGCAATACAAAAAGCTTACTCGAGCTCGACTCGTATTCGGTTCATTAAAAACTCGTTCAAGATTGACTCATTATGTAAAGAAATTAAGCTTGAATTGAACACGTTTAAAGCTTACTAAGTTTTCAAGTCAAGTTCAAACAATCTCCGGCTCAACTCAACTCAACTCTCTCACTCTCTCTACGTAGTTGAGCAGAAAACACATAAAAATAAAAGCTTCTTAAAACTCATTTAAATTTTGGTGCAGTACATCTAGGAAACCCAACTTAGATTCAAAAGACATACAGAAGACGGAGAATTACAATGTAATCTTCAGAGACACGAAAACTTGTTTGGTGAACTCCGTTTTGTTGTTGTTGGGGGGGGGGAGGGGGGGGGGATTGAAATTAACCCAATTTTAGGAATTCCAATTTTTGAAAATTATTTTTGGGGGGGGGGGGGGGGATTGAAATTAACCCAATTTTAGGAATTCCAATTTTTGAAAATTATTTTTATACAAAAATGAAAACAAAACGAGGGTGTTTTCGAACTTTTCATTAGTCTTGCTTCTGCAAATGAAAAAAACAAAACCCAAACAAGTCCAAATTTGTGTCTGAAATGATGATAGAAAAGGAAAACATGCTTATAAACAGTAACAATAATGTGAAAGTAAGAACAAAACTCACAATGCCCCAAAAGCACAACCCCAAAAGAGAGAGCACAAAAATCTCTATCTACGCAAAAACTACAGTAAAGATTCACTTTTCCAAACAAAGACAAGGAAAATGAAATACATGAAAACGGTGGAAAAAGACTGGTAATGAGAAGGGAATCCTAAACCGACTTTACTTTTAGTAGTATTTGGTTTAATGAAATGGAGTGAAATGGAATAATCATCCCATCTGTTAAAGTATATAAAGAATACACACTAATACACTGTAAAGTAAAGCACACACACACACCAGCAAGTATACAACGAATACACTGTAAAGCACACACACACACCAGCACACACCCACTAACATCACATGTTCGGATCACACTGTAAAGCACACACCAACACACACCCACTAGCACACCCCAGCACACAAAGAAAGCTTTAGCAATAGTTTAATGTACCTTCTCCTCTCTATAAATAGAGAGAGCCCAGTCTCTTGTAACACACACAAAAAAATATACATACTGAATACATCAAAAATATAGAGCTAATTTGCTCTCTCAATCTCTCTCAATTTCTTTCAGTATAATGTCAGTTAGTGTTACAGAACACTTAAGCTGTGCCTTTGTTTTGATTAATTATCATGCTTTATTAAAGAGAGAGTTGATGGAATCACCTTAGAAGTTAAACCTCAGTTATGAGAGAGAGAGACAGAAAGAGAGAGAGAGATCTTGGAATCTGCAACCATAAAGGCATACTCAGGAAAGCTTTACAGAAATCAAAGAGGTGTTCTTGTGATTATCTTAGTTACCAATAATAAGGAGATTTGGAAATGAAGAAGAAAAGGTCAACCCGACCCGTTGGTACACGTGTTGGTCCGACATCATCTGATGGGAGTTATTGTGCCGTGACACGTAAACTGACTTAGCCTTTCCACTTGCACCAATTAGGGGCCCCACCCATCACAGCCATTGGTGTTTGTTGGCATGGTAGGGTCCCACATGACAGGTTGTACATGATAACATTGTCTAGAGAGCTTTTGAATACCTGCAGATATGTTTTGTATCAACTGATATGTTTTAGACTTCCGATATTCACTGATATATGCATATATTGTTCGATATTAACTGATATATGACTATATGACTGATACTGATGTGTATTCTAATACTGTTGCATTTCGTATTTATGGGTAAGATTGTGAGGACTCCATTGTCTTTTACTCAGCTGCCGGTGGCAGCACGGGGAAAAGCTGTGGGGTGATGCTTGTGGGGGAAAGGCAGTTAATTAATTTCAAATGTACCATAGGCTGTCTAGTTGTCTAGATTATTAATTGTTCCATGCAACAGTTGTATTGTCATATCAGAAAGTCTTTAACTGATAATAAGCTAAAATTTAATCTCTCAAGACTTGAGTTTTTAGACAAGTGCAACCAATGGATGTCAGAATAAAAATTATAAAATCTCCTAGATTGTCGCCTTTTATTTTTGACTGATTTCTCCTTCTTATATAGCTATTTTGGAAATAAGCTCTTTGATATATGGATATATACACTAGCAGTGGGTGTAAACGCGATGTGTTTGCAATTATACGTTAAATTTTTGGGTAGTTTGATAAACACTACAAGAAAAAACACTTTTGGGGATCACCTTTTTTTTTTTGGTCGCAAATAGTCCACTTTCTGCAATCAAAATTTAACTTTTGGGGACCACAATTTTTTGCATATTGGAATTGGTGAGAATATCCTTTACATGTTAATATATGTGTGCTTTCTGTGGTCATTACTCATTTTGAAGTGTGAGTTTTTTTTTATTAGTATGTCTCATTCTGTACACACTCTTGGATTAGCAAACTTTGGAGTTTTCCGCCTTAGTGATTTTTTTTTTTCTATGGACTTCTATCATTGATCTTTTGCGTTTCTAGAGGAATTGACCTATACTAGCATATCATGGGTGATGTTGAAT